ATTTCGTGGTGTAGAGGCTTCAGCATTTGACTGAGCAACAACTGCATCGTTTTCTATCAGACCCTATCAGTTATCATTTTCCTGTCACCTCGTGCTCGTCATCTTCGCTTGATACCATTTGCTGAAATCAACGCTGTACACTGGATGCTAATGTCCCGCGTTAGAAGTATATTGTCCTTTCTCCATCTACACTCCTCTTTATGACAGCTAGCAGTTCTCCTGTCACCCACAATATTCCTGTCCCGTAACTCTGTATCATACCCTTGGAGACAAACGCCCCAGTGTTCCACTCGGACCGCCCCCTCTGCTTCCTTCCCTTGCGCATGCTCAGATCGGGCTGAGCACGCGCAGGGGAAGGAAGCAGAGGGGGGGAAGGGGTGGCACTGGGCGTCCCCCCTCCCTCGGCTCCACCCCACCTCCGCCTCCAGCCACGAGCACACGTCCAGCTGCCACGCCAGCAGCTCGTGCAATGGCTCGGAGTGTACCGAATGGTTGTCTTATATAGCGGAGGCCGATATCACGATCAAAACATTGGATTGATACTCCGCACCGATTTGCCTGTTTGCCTAGCGGTCGTTTTCGCCTCCAGCGAACTCGAACCCGTGAAGCATTTGCGGACGGACAGCATCATCATAATATCAAGTTAGTTAAGGTGTGTGACTCCTACGAACGGTTACTTCTGTGATCGAAAGGATTCGTAACACAACAGTTTATTGGGAAACAACGAACACTTATACTACAAAGGAAAAACAAATCACTAGCGCTCGATTCGCCAAGATTCGTCTTGGCCTCGACCTGAAATGGAAAGAGGATAGGGTACTTACCGGGGTCGACGGTGACTGGGAATGGCGAGGCGGGTAGGCCACCAGCGGAGAGCGGACACACACGAAGAAGTGAACTCACTCCCCACGGCTAGTCTCTCCTATATCATTCATACGATACGAGACGATACGATAGCTTATCTCTTCTACCCGTTCATTCTAGCATGCCCTCTTGGACTGGCTGGTGGGCTGTATGCCCGCTGGCAATCTCCTCTTTAACACAGTACATACATTTCAATACCGACAGACCGTACACACAAAATTTCTGCTTTATATTATAGAATAGAAGGATGGTTGCATACAATGTTCTGGCATCGAGCGAAATTCAGCACTGAGCCCCCTATCCAGCTTTTCCATAGAAATTCTAGAAAGCATTGGAGTGCGATTTTGTTTAAGCAACCACCACATGTGGTCAGCAAACCAAGCCAACAATATTTCCTAGCATAGAAAATTGACGACTACTCAGTAACTGTTCTCGAAGAAGAGAAGGGATCAGCTGACGTAAATGACCCTTGAACAATTCGCTCTTCACTTGATTAATTTCCTTTAAGCACAATTCCCGCGATCAAGTGTTACAGATAGTTGTGCTCAGTCATGAACCAGTAGCCCCCAATAGCTCCTCAGTAGAAAAAGAAGCGAACAAACCGTCGAGAACACCCGAACACAGCATCTCTCCCTTAGCGGCGTCTTGACGACGTATGTCGGACGTGAAGGACAAGCTTTCCATAACAATTGAAGCGCAAAAGCTTGAGCCCGTTGGACACTTGGTGAGCGACAAGTCATGGTCCTGGCCAAGGCGATCGATATCTTCGTGTTTGAGATGAAGGCTGAAAGAAAATTTTTAGCTTTTTTTAAAAAGCTCGGTAGTAAAACTAGTCTGATGACGGAAGATTGGGGTAGTAACAATTGAATAGTGCCCCCTATCTAAAGATTAGGTGAGTCTGAGAAACACACTAACTGCTCTTCATTTCTTATCCTCCTCTTGCGACGAGTATGGAAGACGAACTACCTGCTCTTCAGTTCACGTCCTTCCCATCGCTTGCAGAGTATGGAACTCGAAAAGATCTTCTGGCTCTTCGTCTCAATCCTATTAACTGAATCAGGCTTGCAAAGACTATGGAACCCCAAAGCAGCCCAAGTCGTCTTCAATTTATTTCCAACGGTGCGAGGCTTGGCAATCGCTGAGCGGATCACCGAAGATGACAGTTGCCAGAAGCGCCGCGCGCGACACGTGCCGCCCGGGTGTTGTAGGAATAGACGCTTCTGGGCCGTTGTCTTGTACAGCCACACTATGATGTCGCACGCGTTGCCACCGCTCACATAGCCTCCAACTTCTGTTGTCTCGTCATTCTGATGGACGAAGAGTGCGTACGTTCCCCTGAAACGGCGCTATAAACATGTTCAAAACGTACGCGAGCGCAAGTTTGAGGACCACTTGATCCGGGAAGTGTCTTCAACTCAGGACAAGGCACAATCACAAAGAACATTTCGCAGGGCGTCAGCTCAAGAACTCATGGACCATTGATTGATTGATTTTTTGATAATATTTTTTGTGATATGATTCCTATCTAGTAAGTTGCACCAACTACGTGCGCGGAGCCAGCTCCGCGGTGGATGGTGAAACGAGCTTTCAGGAAATGATCTGTGAGTCCGGTGAACTCGAAGCTCTTTGCTCAAAGTTACTAGTTCAAGTGGCAGGGGCTCTAATGAGGAGGAAGAGAGGTTTTCTCGAAATAACATTACCAAAAGGACTTTATCTCATTCACCCATTCCCAGCGCAATCCAGAGACCGGATCTGATGCCGGGTAGAACGCGGCCAGGATATGCTTTGTGTATCTAAATCTCGCAAAACGTGGGCAATTAACACATCGCAATGGCACCGACTGCCCGTCTCATAACGACTAGCCCCAGCTCAACAGCCAAATACGACCCCCATTGGGGAATTCCGACATGATGTGGCCCGGACGGTAGATCAGGTTCTGCTCCGTTTCTGCGCCGAACATGACAAAATTCAAACTTTATCTTTCTATCTCTTCTTTTCTCAAGCTTTCCTGTAGACACTTGCTTGCTCTGCTTTGGAGCTTCTACATACACTTCGCCCAATAAGCACTGAAAGAGAAGCCTAGTTCCACGATTTTCACCTCTCTCGCGTTCTTTATCACGAGGGATGCCTACTTCAGCGCCTAATGTTCTCCATATACCGGTGCTTGCTTTTTGTATTTCTCATAAAATTAATAGGAGAGAGGAAAACATTCAAAAAATCCAAACAGCGTATAAATGCCACCATTGTTTTATACGATAGGTTACTGTATTTTTGAAGGTTCTTGAGAGGAACCCGTTGACATAAGGGGAATATTGTAAGGGATGGTTGTCTGCTTTCACTTTGCTGTCACTTTTTGTCTTGAGTGATACTGTGGAGGTTATGCTTCTTGAGGGATACCGTGGAGGTTATGCTTATGAACCGTACTTGGCGGCACCAACTCTCCCGACCATTCACTCGCTGAGAAGTCCTTCTAATGTAAACAGAAGAGAAAAAGCTTAGCCGCAGCCACTCCATGCGCTTTGTCAGGCTGGCCCAACTTATGCCATTCATCGCGAGAAGTTTTCCCTGTAACAGGAGGCCAAATGGTGTCAAAAGTATGGTGAGCATGGACAAGTGTAACAGCTCTTTCATTACGGCAGTTTTTGGTACGAGGAAGGACCATCGTGCAATTATTATATGCGTGCATCCGTCGACAGCACTAGATATCGTGCCATATCATGTACTTTTTCCTGTCAAACCTGGCATGCTCTCGCAGACTCCAGACAATCGTGGGGCTCTGTTGACTAGGGCGAGATTGTGAGCCGTGTAGGTATAAACCATTTCCACTTCAGATTCACGACCCTTTAAACCTGCATCATGAATTTTCAAACCGAAATTCACGACTTAGTTAGCCCATTCCTCACAAACATCAGCTGCAGAAGCGCCTTACCCTGTAGCCAAGCTCCACATTTCAGCAATTCGTGATTTTTTCAGATTTTGTTTCAATAACCTTGCCTTGTGAGGACTTCTTGCGCATCTTTTGTTTCACCAACAAGCACATTGAATAGATAAGGACCTATACCATCACAACGCGTCGGCCTAATTCGCCATTTTTGGAAGGATAGACGCAGCATCGTTATGCACTGCACCTGAGCCACGCCCTTTTCCGCCTTGCCTGTGGAATTTGATATTTTTTCAAAATTTTTTTGTTTTGTGCATCTACTACGTGAAGCCCCGCACTGGAAAGAAGCCTCGCCCACTTCGTGACTGCTCGCCCTCCTCTGAAAAAATCTTCAGAGTACAGTCCAAACAGGTTAGTCAGCCTCACATTTTTTGGTCAAGGGTCGCCTCGTCAGCTGCGAGCAGAAAAAAAAATCAGGGACCACTGAGCATTTTTTTGGTTTTTTTTCGTTCACTAGGGCGCGAGCGGACCTTCTTGACCTGCAAGGCTGACTCAAATATGATCAAACTGGAAATAGGTGGGGGGTTCTAACGGAATATAGCGACAGTTTCCGCGCTAGCTGACGCGAGGCCTCGCGCAGCAATCTGAAACGCGAAAAATGAAAAACATCAGAATTGCGCAAAAAACCCGCAAAAGTGGGATGTGCGATAGCCGGGCGAGGCGTTAACTGTGACAGTGTTAGTGATGCACGCTATGAGTACCGTGAAGCGAGATGTAGTAAAAGACAACGACGTCAAAAAAGTTTATGAAAGTCTAACCAGCCATAAATTCTTTGAAAAGAGAGTGGAGCTTCCCATGCGCCGATGTGCAGCCCTTTCACTCAGTGCGTATGAGCGACAAAAGCGCAAAAAAGTCACAAAAAGCAAACAGCAAAGTCAGGAAATTTGTGAAATAAAATTGACGGTGCGATTCGACGTCCCAAGTGGCCCCAAAACTGAAGCCAGCGGATAAATTAGCGTGCTGCCTGCACGGTACGATTACACAGCTATGATGTAAGCAGGACAGTTCTGTAAAATACTTATATGTCCGCATGTCATGCCCAGTAAAGTTCGGTGAGTCAGCATGTATCATGCAAGGTTGCCTCAGAATCGAGAGTTCAGGCGACAATTTTTTCAAGTTTTCTTTCCGCATTTTCGGCCACTTTTCACTTGCATGGTATGCTCCCAAAGTAAAAACTCTCTAATAATATTTCAGCATGTCACTCAAACGATTAATTGATGTGGGTACGGTAGCACAGCTGCTCAAGAAAAATATCATTAACAAGGAAGGAGTTAGGATATTGGACTGCACTTACGATCATGGTCTCGTCCCCAACAAACCTGACTGGAAGCATTTCCAAAAAGAGTTCTACGGAAAGTTCGAAAAACTGCTAGCTCTGCCGCCGTGCCCGTGAGGTCAGTTCGAGTGAAATCAGATATTTTCTATCGTTGTTCAATTATACACGATATACTATAAGTGATGAAGCTCCTACTGAGTAATCGCTTTCTGAGAAGAGGCACGCAGTCCAGTTCCAAATCAATTCGTTAGTGGTTTCCAGATGTGATATTGTCTACTAAAACCGACTTTGGCGGCGCGGGGGGGGTATTCAATGCATTAGTCACTTGTGTTATTCCTTCCTAATGATCTGTTTTTCACCAACTTTCTGATAGGGGTGTGCCGGCCCGGTCTGGAGCTGATCGAAACTCGAAGTGAGTTGGGAGCCGCGCAAGATGCGTGATTGGCCAACCAATCATCATATTGAGCAGCTAATACCAACCAGAACTGCTCTTTATTTCACTTTAAAGCCTAGAATTCCTAGGAGAGATGTTTTAAATGATATAACTCTTGGAAAGGCTACAAAATCAGGTAATCCCTGCTCTGAGATTTGCATAAAATCAGTCTATATTACGTATTTTCTGGGGTATAAGACGGACTTGCCAATGTTCCTGGCAATAAATTTTCATCAGTTTTTTCAATACGTTATGATGATGTCGGATATCACAAAAGAGTCGCTTTGTCATGCATGGAACGCCCCACGTAATTTATTGCATAGCACTGTTCTCTTTACACTGGCGATTTAGTGGCGAACTTTTTCGACTTGAAGTTCCCTTCGTCCAACGAATGCGAAACTCGGCGTATCTGCAGGAAGACAGTCATATCGACAGAAAATGCTTTATGAGGGGGGGGACAGAAAATGGGTCGCAAAGCTACTTATTTTCCCTAGGTCCCACTAACAGGCTTTCACTGATGACAGGTACATTACGCAGTATTAAGTCATGCTCTGCGATAACTTTCTATAGGATATGATGTTGAAAGGAGAAATAAAAGTTGGTGATTTCTCACCAAACACGTATATGTAGAAGGCAGTGTTCAGACTTCGCGATGGCGCGCGTCGAAAGGTATCAAACATTGCAGGACAACTTAATAGACAGTAATCATCCGAGCACTTGATTAGGGCGGCAAGGGTTGCGACGCGGCTGCGGCGTGTCACAAGGGCGGCGATCAGCTATTTTCAGCCCATCTCAGCCATTTTCTCCCTAGTTTGCACTATTATGACTGCTTTTCTCGAGATTAGTCGTTCATTGTCATCACAAGGTAAATTATAATTGAGATTCCTCTGATTTTCGCGTACAATTAAACAGTTGAGCAGACAATAGAAAAAATACCTGAAAAAAATCGGAAAACACTCTACTGCAAACATTGTATGTTCAAAACAAAAAAAAAAGACTCCACGCCCTTATGTACTTCATAAAGACAATAAAACAACTAACCTTCAAAAATAGAAAATACAGTGAAAATTAGGGAGAAAATGGCCAAATTAGGCTGGAAACAGCTGATCGCCGCGGTCGTGACGCGCTGCAGCCGCGTCGCGACCCTTGCCGCCTAATCAAGTGCTCGGATGACGACTGTATGTACACTACGTAACATGGCCATCAGGCAGTGGCAAGAGGGCAGAACAAACCTGCTTTCATTGCTTTGCCCTGCCAATGCATTTACTGCCGCTCGTCACCTAAATCATCTGTCATCTTATTTTCAGATCGAAGCAGATGTATCTTTCCGGACACATTCCAAAAGCACCTCATATATGCATGGATGTAGCCTTCTATCCATCAGAATATGAACGATATGCTCTTTATCCTCCCGAAGTATTCCAGGAGTATATGCAGGTGCATATGTACTGCAAGGATTGAAATCGTCCTCAAGAAACCTATAAAAAAAGATGTTCTATTCAAGATACTTGGCATTGATGCTGGCGAACATCTAATACTGTACGCTCGAGAAAAATTTGGTGGAATGCTCCACGCTTCAAAATTTGCCTGGCTGTTCAAGGTTTTTTCAAATATTGAAAGCCATCTTACATCAAAGTTATAGGTATGAATACGTTTCGCTTCAGTCCTACGGTCATGAAAAGATATCGCTTGTTGACGGTGGATTTGATGAATGGGTGAAAAGAGGACACGAAATCAGTAAAGACGACGTTAAATTGCAGGTCAGTTGATGAATAAACAAACCTCTCTTGCTTTCACTTAGTAATTTAATCGCAACGAATAAATCGCAGCATCAGGTAATAGTTGTACAACTGGCCTTAACAGAATTCCGTGACCTCGGACAAGCGCTGCGTGAAGCCTTTTCCAAGAAGGGTACCCCTATAACGCCCTGTTGAGCAACAACTTTACGTCCCAACGCCTTCCTTGTCGCCCCGCCCAGACACGAGCTACCATTTCTGATGCGTCGGATTCAGCTCATTTGCTGATTATGAAGCAAAGAACTTGGTATGCAAGTCTACGTGATGCTGCCTGCCATGTATAAGGTACAGATAAGCACCCGACTCGGGTAGTGGTGCATTGCCAAGATGCTGCCTTGAAACTCGTCCGAAATCGATTTGCAAGTCACTGAGAAAGGAGGCTTTTTCTTCGCCGGATTTTGACCGTTTCACTCCGTTCTTTCGCCAGTTCCCCACTATACAGCGCCCTACTAGCATTTTAGGCTAAGTAGGAAACCTCATCACTGTCAACTGCCTTTGAGTCGCTGATGCGCACCTCAATCCAATCTCCATTACTACCTTGGACACGACTGCAGCGGTCCACTGGGTATTTGGGCGTTGCAGGGGCAGGCAGGGTGAGGTGTCAGTACCCCTTTCCTGTTTGGAGCGTTTCCGAGGTCAGACTTAAAATGGGCCTACCCGAATCAGCCAAGCTTTCTCTAATCAGAGACCGGCTCGACTGGCCGACCCGAACTCGACTAGGATTAAGCATTGACTTGAACATTGGCTGGCCGCTGTAAACCAGTGCTTAGATGAGATTGCATTCAAAATGCCACTAAGATTTCGAGTAAAAGTGGATTCCATATTGTTACTTAAAAAGTATTGATCAACAGCACAAACTTCCTTCTTGGTTGTACCTGCTCTTTTAGTAAAAGTTCACATCGTCGCCATTCCGCAGAGCCGTATCAAGAGGCGTGGATTGAGCCCATGCCGCCGCTGCCATCTTGACAAAGTCAAGAAGAAAATAGATAAGTAACAGAACCGCGTGGGAGACGCGGCAGAGAATCGTGAATTGCCGATTCGCCGCGCCGCAACGGGCCGCGACCGTCTTCTCAATATCACTACTTCGAAGGAGCATTGGATTTCATGTAGACAATGGTCATGGATGAAAACTATGTCTCATTTTTTCCTCAACATTTGTCTAATTCTGGACCAATACCAGCCCTAAGAACTGACGCCATTAGCGGGGGGGCGCGACGTAGCACGCAACGCCCACTGGCGCGGCGAATTACGATTCTCTTGCCACATACCTAGGCCGTGGATATGCTCGCTTCACACCCCCCCCCCCAACACGCTCATCTATAATTTTTTTTCGAGCTTTTTCTTCTGCACATAGATGCTTTGTTTTCTCAGATTGAATGCAACTGAAAAAGCGCCGGTCCGTTTGAAGTGCTCCAAGTCCTTTCCTTCTACAAGTCGAGCGATTTCACGCCAAGTCGTGGAACCTGAACCCTAAGCAGCACATCAACTCAGCCACGCTTTTACTTTCGGGGCCCATGTTTTACGTTTCACGCTCAAGTTTGGAATTTATATGAAATCTGGGGCTTCTGAAGTTGTCCGCGACTGCGAGTGTCGACGTTCATTTGTTCAGCGTGGAACGTGGAAGGCCAGTGATAACATGGCCAAGTACAACATCAAGTTCGAACAGCTGGAGGAACAACATGGTGACAAAAAGTACATTGAGTGGACGGATGATGTGAGGTGGCCGGCTATGTCAGATATTCCACATAATTGCACTGGTGCTACCGTAGAGGGAATCCTTTTCAGATAAATCTGCTCGATGCAAGAGTACGAGGGCAGTTTGAGGGTACTATTCCTACTGACTGCCCACCAAGTGAGTTTATAGTATGTGATTTTGGGTTTTGAGATTGGATGGCTTTATTTCTTCCAATTACTACCCAGATGTTGTCGGAACACACATTCCTGGTTCTAAGTGCTTGCCAGCAGAAGAGCTGGTTGAGGAAGGCGTCATGCTAGACAATGAGGAAATTCGCAACCGTGAGTAATCTTAGTTATTTATGTTTTGTAGCTTTACCCTGTATGGTACCAGGTAATGACCATTAAATTCGCACTTGTTTTTCGAAACCAAAGTCACCTCTTTTCAAACCAAAAATCTCCAACGTTTCCAACATAAAATACAACACATTTAGACTTGGGCATTATCAACCAGAATGATCCAGGAGACCAATGGCAAGCCCGCCCTACCAAGGCCGCGCCCACTTTTCTTCAGTGCGCGTCACCAATTCGAACTGTTAACTTTTCTGCTTTACGTTGCTACGACAAAAAGATACTCGACGCATGTCGGATGGACCAGTCGGATCGCCCGGCTGACGCCGAGCTCTCCTCCTTCTCTTTAGCTCGGCTTCGCCGAGCTGGCCTGGCTTCGCCAGGCGAAAACTAACAAAACGAGACTTTTTCAATTGCTGGGCTGCTCATACGGCGCTGTAGTGATCGTATCGTGACAGATAGGGCAAGAGCCTGCGGATCCTGCGCTCCTTAGCTTACGCTTATATTTCTATACCAGCCGGATCGCCCAGCTGTCGCCGGGCGCTCCTCCTTCTGTGACATGGCCCGGCTTCGCCGGGTGGGCGCGGATTTGCTGCGTGCTAAGTTACGGATCGTTGACCAACCACACTGTTCAAAGGAATGTTCTGCATGCATTCGGAATAGAGCTAGCTGTTAGCGTCGTACATGATTCGCTACTGATGAGCGGTGAGGAATGAGTTGTGTTGGAATCATTGAGATAGTTATACTTGAGTCATATCGATCGCATTGCTGCTGTGAGCGGTGTAGCGGATTTTCCCATGTTAACTTGTCACTTTCAGCCTATAACATCCGTCACCCGCCAATAATATTCCCGTCCAATACCACTATCATATTACCCTAAATCACTTCTCGAAATCACGCTCCCACCGTTGCTATAACCTGCGTTACGTATCTGGTGATCATCCTCTTCCGAGACCCCTTATCGGATCTTATCAACTGTTATCACTTTCTGTCACCCGCCAATTCCCGTCCCATCCCCTATATCACTTCTTGGAACCAACGTGCCACGCTTCACTGCGACGCGTGCTATGAATTTCGTGACAGACAGACGGACGCACACACACACACACACACACACACACACACACACACACACAGTGACAGACATACTTAGTGAGTTATATATAGTAGGATACGCAGGGTAGGTGTGGACCGCGCCATAACGCCCATATAGTACGTAGACATGTAGATATATTAGGTTGGTGCATAAGTTCTTGGCCACGATTAATATCTCAATAGCGAACCAACCTGAAGATTAGAGGTATGCATCGTCACCATCCACTACTCCGCGCTCAGGCAGCTTGGTAGATCCTTCCAGAACGACGGGGGCTGGGACTTGAAGAAGTCGTCGAGTGCCTTTCTGACCTGATCCTTTGTTTCGAACTTTTTTCCGTCCAGAGAGCGCTGCAGGTGGCTGAACAGCCAGTAGTCAGAAGGAGCGATGTCAGGGTAGGGGGGCTGGGAGGGCTGGGCGATCAGCCATCCGTACTTCTCCAGCTCGGCCTGGGTCGCCTTTGCAGTGTGAGGTCGGGCGTTGTCATGGTGGAAGTAGATTTCCGCATTCCTTCCACGAGTACGGTCGACGTGATCTTTCAATTTCCGCAGCTGGGTCACGTATGTGGAAGCGTCAATCGTCTGTCCCTTCTCCAGCAGCTCCCAGAATCGTTCATGCCTTCTTTCTAGACCCACAGAAACAGGGTGGGAACCGATTCTTGTGCGAAAGGTCGGGCCTTTGGTGTGGCTTCTGGCTGTTGCTCCTTTTGTCGACCCACCTGCCGCTTTCCTCACAGGGTTCCTTGTACGAGGACGGCGCTTCTCATATACTAGTGAATCTATCGAGGCGTTTTTCATTGAGAGGTAGAAGCTTCATTTCTGTGCAATCGCTGAAGTGCAAAACCAGGCCCAGTGACGCAGGTACATTTTGTCATAGTGGAAATTGGCCCGCAAATGCAAGATGGGTGAGTGATAGCTGTGACAAAAAAGTATAGTACCCACGTCACGCACACGTGATGACGATACACCAACATCCATGCAAACGAAATACGGAAGGATCAAAACACGTGGCCAAGAACTTATGCACCAACCTAATAGATACAAAGTGCGCGGCTAATATAGTGCAATATCCCTCAGTAGACAAATTCCGTTTCCATTAATTGCACCGGAATGCCTACCGATGAACGCTTCCCGTTTCAATTACTATGCATTCCGGTTGCTGACGTATAAATGACCAGTCGACTCGCCGGCTAACGCCGGCATGCCTCCTTCTGTGATGCGTCGCGGCTTCGCCGCGCTTACCTCTTACACATGTTTATATACCCAACTGATATGCTGCTTTTCTTTTATCTGAACAGATGACCAACGCTCCTTGACCATAACATCATACCTGCTATTTTCAACACTATTACTGTGCATGACATTATGGTAAGGAGCATTGATGAAGTGCAGAGATGACAGAAAGCCGGGTATCAGTCGTGCATTTAAACGTACGAAAGCAGGTAGGGTAGACGAAGCCACGCCGGCCCTGCAAGGCAGGGATGTATCACAGAGGAGGCCTGCCGTCGACAGCCGGCTAGTCGACTGGTATCGAATGCATTTACAGCGACCGGTGGTATTCATGGCTGTCGATGCACTGAAGCTCAGTAAAAGTAGGCAGTCCGTGCTTGAAGGAAGACATTGCCCATTAAGGGCGGGTCTCTCTACACCACGATACACCCAACCTTCGCTGTATGTTTCTTTTCTCTAGCAACTTTTACTGACATTTAAAGTCGCTCAGGTCCGAATTATAAAATTTCGTAGCAAGCACCGCCCATCTCGAGTACGTCCCGCCCATTTTGAGGATGTCTGCCCCATTTCATCCACTAACCCCTTGTGACCTTCAGTCCACATGTCCCCGGTGCATATGCTGCTCTGCAAGCAACTCGTGAATTTTTGACTTTTGCCCCTCCCACCTCGACACCTGCTTCGCCCACAATGGGCGTGTCTATCTCACTTCCGATGCCTGGACTGCTCTGTGAACGTTTCAGTCTTTTTCGTTTGGCTCCGCCCTAACGCTATTGAGACTGTAGTCCTCACCACAACATTCTGCCAGTGACTTTCCATGTGAGAGGAAGTGCAGTGATCAGATCTCTCGGAAAGCACGATCACCAAATTTATAGCGCGGGTCACAGCAACAGTGAGAAGTTGGAGCAGCAAGTGATGAAGGCAGTGTGATATGGATACACATGGTGGGTGACAAAAAGTGATAGCTAGTTGAAATGCCACACTTTTCTACCCTCTGATAGGCAACGAGACATTATCAGTCACTACCACTACCTGTCACACATCAACAATGTTGTCACAACCCCTACATCACTTCTTTAAAGCAACTTCCTCTGCTCCTGGACGGCTGTGAGTTTTCGTGTATCACACACCCACCCGTGTGAAGGCGACACCAAGAGCCAGGAGGAGGCTTCCAACTGAAAAGCGATAAGTCATAGGCAACAACCGCCAAACGTTCCCCGCCACCCACTGATACGTCATTGTCCACTGCGGACAGTGACTTTCTTTCTCTATATTTTACATTTCACCGTGAGTTCAGCGGACACCATTTCCTTTGTGCTAAATCGAGTGTGAGGAACCAGGTTTTATTCATGTAAACAGTGTTTTGTGTATTAGGATTCATCCGGAAGTTTCTCAGCCGTCTTGGGTGTTCGACTTTAAACGATCGTAACTTTGTTTAATACTTCGTCAGATCTTATATCAGACAACACATTGAATCAGACACTCTTTTTGGCAATGGGATGAAGTCGAGAATCCCATCAAACTAAAAACTGGGTGGTACGAAAATCTTCGCGAAATCGGGTTGGGTGCGCGATTCTATCGTCGATGATAAGTAGGTCGCGCTGGTGGGCGCCGCGTACGAGTCCTGCTGCGTCGTGCTCGTTGAAATTGTTAAAATGATCATCAAGCCATATTGTTTATGTTAATCCTGTACTGCTTGTCCCATTTTCCTATGATGATCAATGATTGTTTTTTCCGTTTCCGCATATGCAAAAGTAAGGGATGTAAAGACTGGTCCACGTTATTTTGTTCAACAGTTACTGATGGCCATTTTGGGCTTTTCGGCAACTTGTGTCCTCGCCTATACTCTTCGTCTGAGATGAATTGGTTAAAAATGTCAACTCCGGAATTGTCGCATCGCGCCGACCGAGACGCGGGCGACTGTTGCGCACGGTGACGTGGCTTGCCGACGCTAGAATCGCCCGGGGTCCCGACGAAATTCACGAAGGCTTTTTTGTGCCTGGAGTGATTGATGAAGTATTTCCAGCAGGGAGTCTCTAAAATGTTTACAAAAGGTGATAGTTGAATTGGCGCAAGAGGTTGGGAGAATATGGCGGTCTGAGGTAGAATTCAACCCAATCTCGTTCAATTTATGGATAGTGATTTGTGAAACGTGTGGGCGTTGTCATGCAAAGGAATCGGACCCTTTCTTTTGATAAGTGTTGGCTGCATCTGACAAAATTTTCGGTACAATTCGTCGATTTCTTCACAGTAGGGTTCTGCTGTGATGGTTTGGCCTGGTGATAAAAAGTTATAGTGGATCACACCAGCCGATGACCACCAAGCCGTGACCAGAATCTTTTTTTTCGTGAGGGTTCGGCTTTAAAATTACCTCGGTGTCGTCGGAAATCACCCATGTCCGAAGGTCTTGTTATCTATACATGACCATTTTTCATCACAGGTGACAATTCGGCCCAAAAACAGGTCGTTTCTGCTGCGCAAAAGCAATGCAGAAGGAACCTCGAGACGTGCCGATTCCTGCCGGTCACTCCGATTGAATTGGGTAATTTGCCAACGCTATCTCTTTCTGCATCTTCTCAAACTGTTTGGGATGGGTCAGCCTCAAATCCCTCTAAAATCCTCGTCAGATATTGCTTTAGGTCGACCGCTATGAGGTTCACCTTCAAGGCTGAAATCTCCA